TAAGACAAGTTTTTTACATATGTGCCACATGTCCAACTTATATTAAAATCTATTAATTACCTATAGACACAAATAAATACGAAGTCACTTTTACAAAGCTTTTAAAAAACTTATCTATAAGATATTATTAAATTTATATATTTTTACATATTTTATTCTATTTATATTATTTAAATAATTATTGGAATAAATATATGTATTTGTGATAATTATAACCTTCAAAAGAATTTAATAGAGTTGAAGATCCTTAAAACCATATATTCTTCGTTAAATACATGGCAAGATATAAAACATTTGTATTTTCAATTTTAGAAGAAACTTCGAATGTCTAGTAATACTATTGGAGGTAGACACCATTCTTAATAGTATTTCAAATTTTTTATTTGAAAAAAGTTACAAAAGCTTGAACAATGATCAAATATCAAGTTAGTTATTATGCCTTAATATGACATAATATTAATGGCTGAAAGCACCTATCAATTATCTACAAAAAGAACAAAGATCAAAGTATGTAGCAAATACAATTTTTTTGCATCTTAGACTTCTTCAATATGTAATCACTATTCCTTGTGGAACTTATTTTTGGATAGGAAGGTAATATCTAAACATATACATTTATCTAGATTTAAAGGAGTTTTTTAAAAGTAAGTAAAAATAATTAATTTATTAAAATATTGTGAAAAAGCTTTATAGACATGGATTTGATTTTAGAAGTGTCTAAAAGTGATTGGTGGATTTAATACTCAGTCAAAAAATTGGGCATGTATTACACATATTAGCCACTTGTGGTACAAGTTGGTTATGTGGTACACATAAAAAAAATTGACTTGCAAGTTAAGTACATGTTATGTAAGTTGGATATATGCCAAAGGTCTTATAGAATGTTGCTACATAACTCCTAGTTATATATATATATATATACATATGAAATCTCTACTATTGTTTCAAGAATCTCTAATCTTTTGTCTTTGACAATAGTCATTCTAGTTTTGATGTTATACTATTTTTGAGTGAACATTTATTTTTTTCTAATAACATAAGTGTATATCAATGTTTTGATTGTATGTCATTCATGTCCTTGATAAACAATCAAGAGATATATATTTTTTATTTTTAGGTCCATAGATTGTATTTTGATAATGTAACAAAAATAGATCTAAAATAAATACAAAATTTTAATTGCAAATATTTTTAAATTTTTTTTCTAATAAAAAATAAGACTTGAGCATGTGAAAATATATATTGAATAACATATTATAGATACTAGATAAAAAAATATATGTAATAGTATATAAAAATTATTCTAAAACATTCTAAAATTTAATGATATTTTTTAATCTATTAATAAATTATTTTACTTTCTTATAATTTATAATTATTTGTTTTCTAAAAAATAATTTTATTAAAATTATAATATAAATATATATATTTTAAAGTAAAAATTTATACAAAAAATCAATAATATTTTTTTTATTTCAAAATCTTAAAATACTCCTATTTAATAGGGATATATAGTTTGTATTAATTTTTTTAAAGCATTGATGAAAAACAAATGTATATATATATATATATATATATATATATATATAAAATACTAAAGCTTATTAGAAGCAATTATAAATAATTGACTAAATAGTAGATAATTCATAAATAACAAAAATCCATAAAATTCATGATCTAAAATCTATACTAAAATTTAATATTAAAAATATTATTGTATAATAATGCAACTATTAGGTGAAAGTGGAAAGAATTTTTTTATTTTAGAATATTCCAATAGAAATATATAGTAATAAAAATAAAAAAATAAAAAAATTGTAAAAAATTTAGTCTTAATATTGCTTATTTGTAGAAGAGACTTTTATTCATTTTGTAGGGGCATAAATGAGCCAAATCAAAGTAAATGAGATAAGTAATTGATATAGGCATGTTTAAACATATATATATATATATATATATAGCAATAATTATCTCAAAATATGAAGAACTAATACTTAGAGAAGACTAGGCAGACCCTTAGGTTCAAAACCATGCACATATGGCAACTTTGAGGTTCTTTGATTGATCAGAGAGCAAAATTTGAGAATAGACAAGCATAAGGTTTTCTGAGCATTAGTTTTAAGTAATTTGAGTATGTACAAATTTGTAAAGGCTTTGCAAAATTAGGATTGTTTGTAAAAGACTTGAAATTTTGAGAGATTCAAAGAGTTTTTATTTTGGATAATTATGTGAGATTTATCAATGACATATTGATGAAATTTTGTGATTGAGTATTCATTATTGTATGCAATATGTATTGCAAGTTTGAACTTGTTATAATAGTTTATTCAAAGTTTATTGAAGCTCAAACATATTGAGGTCTCAAGAATTGGAGTTTATAGGATTTTTAAGATATCTATCAATCTGCCAATTTGATTGAAATAATTTTTTTTGCACAAAGAAAAAACTTGATTTTCAACAATTGTGCAAGATTTGAAACTTATTGAATGGTGAAATTAAGAGATTTTGGCTCTAAAATATTAGTATCAAGGTTGAAGAAGGAAGTTGGTCAACACCCAAGTAGATTTTAGAGATTATCTTCTATTTGGTATGTATGATCTTCTTCAAATGTTTAGTGCTTGTTGCTAACTTAGTTTGTAAGAAGTCTACAAATTTTGAGTTAAAATCAATGATTCAAACATTAATTATTTACATTTCAATCTGCTATAGGATTTAAGATTTGTTCAGGGCTTAGTTAGGATATGTTAGAATTTAATTAGAGTTTTGTTTAGAATTTGGTGAGGATTTAAGATTTGATTAGGCTTTAATTAAAATTTGTTTTAGAATTTTTTTAGAGTTTGGTTAGGATTTTATTAGGATTTTATTAAAGCTTGGTCTAAGATTTGGATAAGATTTGTTTAGAATTTGGTTAAGATTGGTTTAGGATTTCATTAGGATTTTTTGAGAGTTATATTAGGATATGACTATGATTCAATCAAGATTTTTATTTTTAATATTTTTTTAAGGTTTCTTTGATTTTTCTTCGTTAGAATAATTAATTTATTAATTCTAATGATTTAATAAATCTATTGAAGGATTTGACTTTATTATAATAAAGAAATTAAAATTTCTTTATTATATATATTTCTTTAAGATTAATTTATGATTTTGTTTATGTTTCTTATGTAAGTTCTTTAAGACTCTTTTGGAGTTTAATTAAAGATTGATTAGCATTGTTATAATTTAATTGGAGTTTATTTAAGAATCTTCTAGAGTTGTTAGGATCTTCTTGTTGCAAGTTCCATTTTACTTTCCACAACCACATACTTTGTGCATGCTCAAGCAAACTTCATGAAATATGACAATATAAATCAAAATTGTTCTTTAAAATGATTTAGTAAATACAACATATTCAACTTCTAGTGTTTGCATTTTGAAATGTTTGTCTTTTTCCTTTTAAGATTAATAGTTATTGTTATTACTATTCTTTTTCTAATTTGATAATAATACAAAGATTCATATTTTGTTTAAGCAATTTTTTAGAATTAGATGTTAGTCGTAAATTTATGACATCCATTGAATTTATTATTAATATTAATAATACAATTAAAGTGGGTTTTCTTAAGCAAAAAGAACATGACTTATCAAAACTATTTACAAAATTGACATATCTGTAACAAAACAAATACAACAATAATTAATCAATTTTATTAAGTTTTTGAAAAATACTAAAGAATTCTGATATATATATATATATATATATTAATTCCGATACACATTAATGATTTTGATATATAAAGTTCATACATTTCTAATTATAGATTGTTTTGAAAAACCACCATTTGAACTCAATATTATATTAGATTTTATTGCACAAATCAGATTTTTAAGTTTTGTTTTATTTTATGGATTTTTGTGATAACACTTGCAAACAAACAAAGAAACCAATTAAATTAATACCACAAAGGTTGGCAAGCAACAGAAGATAAAATAGCTTGGAAAATACCTTTTCTTATACCAAATTTCTAAAGCCCACCTTCCAGAAAACAAAACAGGCCAAAAAAATCCTTATTATGTGCTTTGCACGGCAATGAGGAAAATTACACTTCACTTGACCACCAAAGTAAAAAAGAGAAAAAGAAAATAAAAGAAATGGACAAAAAGTGTAGGAGAACAAAAGGAAAAGTGAACAAGTCAACTAAGTAAAAGAAAAAGGCAACTCAAGAGTGTGTGAGTTAGTGTGTGAAGGAAGGGCTCTCCCATCGAGAAACTGCTCAGTTTTTGCCATATACAGACTTCCTTGCAGCTTGTAATGCAAATGAAGCTTCCGTTGACAATCCCTACTGGTGAAAAGATTCGTAACGACGAACCCTGTTGATGCACTCCGTGAGCAAACGCATCGGTGTATGTTAGGTTGATATCTCTCGGGTAAATCGGTATTTCCATTGATACCCTGTGTCCCAGGTTTATACATCGGTCTCACTGATGGCGGAGGAATTGCATGGAAGGCACTAAACCCATCGACGCCTTCGTGTTTTTGTTCCGAAGCGTGTCAGCTGAGACGGCATCTTCGGCGATGGGCTGGCTGGTTTCAGTCTAATGGTTCGCCTCTCTCACGAACATCAAGATCTCTTCTCGTAATACCGTTTCCCTGGTTTTGCGCTGCCTTTACCGGCAAAGCCCTGATCCAGTTTGCGCAAGCCAGCAAGAGGCGAGAGACTCTCCTTTCGGATTCAATGAGCTTGTCTACTGCTGCTTGGTATGCCTGGAGGATTCACTGGCGTTGCTAGCGATGTTAACGGTTGGGCCTGTGCCGTACGACCGTTACTTCTTTCAATCCCCTGACCATGCCTTTGTGTTCAGGGCTTCGGAATCGAGTGTCAGGGTGGGAGGATTGAGCGGGACGAGGTTCAGTCGTGTAATGTGGGTATGAAGGGCATCCTTGACCTTGGGTGGGCTGGGTTTGGAGCCAGTGATGGGTTAGGAGTGGTGGTGTGCGATTCGCAGGTTGGTTGTGTGCTTAGTGAATGGTTGGTGTGCATGGGTGGCGATACCTTTTGTTTCGATCGAAAGTCTGAGCTCGAATGAATCCCCACTTGAAGCTCAGATGTCGAGCTGTGTGCTGTGCTGCGCCATCTCTTTGGTACAACAAGTGCGCCCTTGAGCTCTATCCCGACGATATGGTTAGGAGATTCGCTTACAAGCGAGATCTTGTTAGGTTCAGTATGCGCGATAGATGGCTCAGGTGTAAGTTGTGGAAGAAGTCGAAACAATGGCGGCCGCGCTATTAAATAGGTTCGTCTATGCCAATTCAAGTTTCAGCAGTATTATTGGTCTCGCGGCGTATCCAGGAAGAAAATCCTCACATGGGCAGTTAGAGCAATAATTCAGGTCTTTTCTTGGAAACAATGGTGGCAGAATTGCTCCCTCGGGGTGATTGTTAGGTTACGTTCTCTCACCACCACATCTAGTTGTGTAATTCATGAAAATGGTTGAATGTGGGTGATATGCGGTTTGCATTCACTGTGTTCAGCATTTACTCTTGCTCTTGTCTCAGGAGACAGGATTTGGTCAAGAGAGATTGCACTGAGACTTCAGTCATTTAGAGAATGTATTCAGAGTGCGCATGTTGCATGGAAGGATACCGAACCTGTGTTTGATTTCATACTATTTCGGAAGTCGCGGTTCGTTACAGTTTGCTGTGGATGTCACTGCTTGAAATTTCGATTTTTGAGTTTGGTTTAGGCTATTTTTCGAACCGTATTCATTGACATTGTCGAAGAATCTTGAATTCAATCCACTAAAAATGTCTTACTGTAAGACCGGACTCCTTAGCCAAATACTAAATGTGCCTTCAAACTCGAAACAGTGTTGCATTGTCGGGAACGTCTGTTTGCACCATGACCAGAACAATGCGTCCATCTTTCGGGAGATGGTCCTAGTGTCTGTTCACGTCGTAAAGAATCTCTTCAGGGTTAAATCACAACACAATGCTCATGAATTCCGCATTGTGCCTGTTGCAGATCAGCTATTTGTTTCCTGGGAAGTTTCTTAACGAGATGTTCCTCTGTTAATGCGTCAACAAGCTGAGTTGAGGAAATTCCATAGAATTTGCTGCTGCTGTTCCAAGATTAAGATCTTTTCACCATGTTCAATCAGCAGTATCGCCGTCCAGGTTCCATGGAGATGTCCAGAAAGTACTGGGGGAGCTCTCTGGGAACCTCTACAGACTTCGACTACGACGAGCCAAGCGTTCAGTCATTATGCGACTTAGAAAGGACCAGGAGTTTAGAGGGAGCTGTACCAAGGCCTATGCTGGATGAGACGCAACAGAGCTGGCTGCTTGAGCCCAAGGTCGAGAAGAAGGAGCCCACGGTAGATTTAGGATGCGTATCGGTGACGCGCAGGTTCTTCCGGTGGATGAATTGCATCTTCTGGGGCATAGTCGTCATTATTGCCCTTGCCCTTATCATTTGGAAATTCGGTCCCAAACACGGCCACTCCCCCCCGAAGCCAGACAACTATACCATTGCACTGAGCAAGGCTCTTTCATTCTTTGATATTCAAAAGTGTAAGAATTCCTCACTCTACATTAATGTTTCTCTCAACAGTGCAATGTCGATGCATCCTGTTTCGTAAGCTGATATTTTCGCTGACACTGGTTCTACATTTCGATTTGCAGCTGGCGCTCTCCCCGTTAATGATCGTCAGCGCAGATTTAAGTGGCGCAGATCCTCGGCCCTATTAGACGGCCAAGCAGCGCAACCCGGTAGCCCAGCAGTGAAACTCGCTGGAGGATTTTACGATGGAGGGAACACGATCAAATTTGGATTCCCAGGAGCCTATGCTATGACTATGCTGAGTTGGAGTGTGATAGAGTACAAGGCGAAGTTTGAAGCCTCGGGAGAGTTTGATCATGCTAGGGAGTTAATCAAATGGGGGACGGATTACATATTGAAAACTTTCAACAACACCGAGGTGGATAAAATTATCTGTCAGGTATGCGCGCTTCTTTGTAACGTACTCGTGCATCGAAGTGGATTTGCGTCCATCTGAGAACAGCATTGAATTTTGGGGTTTTTTTTGTTTATTGCTATAGGTGGGCATAGGTGGAGGTCCAAGACCAAATGATCTCTATTGCTGGGAGAGGCCAGAGGATCTAGACTTCTTCAAAGACACACGCAGGTCTGCCATTTCGGTGAACTCGGGCTCAGACTTGGCAGCGGAGATGGCAGCAGCTCTGTCAGCTGCCTCCATCGTGTTCAGAGACGATCCCAAGTACTCGCAGGGATTGGTGAATGCTGCGAAAGCTCTTTACGCCTTCGCCAAGCTGAAGCCTGGCAGCTTTGTGCAGAACCTCCCTGGCCCTGAGAGGGCCATCTACAACGCTACCTCTTTCAATGATGAGTTGATATGGGGAAGCACCTGGTTATATTTCGCCACCGGCAACACAACTTACCTAGGCGATGCGACTATTCGCAGTATTGAAAACAGTAACCGAAAGAGGGGCTACACGTTTGGTGTATTCGATTGGGATAACAAGCTTGTTGGTGCTCAGGTACGACGCAACTTCTTTTTTCCATTAGATTTATGGTTGTCAGTGTGTGGCTTCAGTTGGTACTAACCAGATGCACTCTCTTGATTGCAGTTACTTCTGACCAGGCTGAGGATCTTGCAAGGGCCCGGTTATCCATATGAACAAACGCTGAAGCAGTACAATAATGAGACGAATCTGGTCATGTGTGCTTATCTGCCTCAGTTTCGGACATGGAACCGCACAAAAGGTATGCGCACGTGAGGACTCTTCATGGGTTTTGGTTTGCATTCTTAAGCTTTCCGTAGGAGCTTATCAGCTATGAGCTACACCTTTAGCTCATGCTATTTGATGATGTAGTTTGGTGTGACCTGATTGAGAGTCTTATGGCGTCCATGCAGGAGGAATGATTTTATTTAACCCGAACGCAACCCAGCATCTTCCGACAGCAGTTAACGCTGCATTTTTAGCTACGCTGTATGCCGACTACTTGAAAGCTGCTGATGTACCGGTTTTGGAATGTGGCCCTAATTGGTATTCTCCAGAGGTTCTGCGCAATTTTTCTCGATCACAGGTTCATTTTCCTAAATCTTATCCTTGTCGTGCTCCTCTAGAATTCGTCGTATTACTCGGTGGAGCTCTGGTTTTTGATGATTGTCGTGAGTCTTCTGTGGTCTTAACATTGAGTTTGGGATCTCATGTAGGTCGATTACGCGCTTGGAAAGAATCCCTTGAAGACGAGCTACGTTGTGGGATACAGCGAAAAATATCCTTTACAACCTCGTCACCGAGCAGCCTCCATCCCCGATGATGGCAAGAGTTACAGTTGCGAACAAGGGTGGCAGTGGAGGGACCGCAATTTTCCCAATCCACATGTCCTTCAAGGCGCCTTGGTTGGAGGTCCCGACATTCTGGATCGCTTCACTGATTTGCGCAAGAATTACATTCAGAATGAGCCCACTATTGCCAACAACGCGGGCCTCGTGGGGGCTCTTGTTGCACTGTCCACGATGCCGACAGGAACCCAAGAGCACATCGACCCCCACTCTATCTTCTCTGCGATCCCTGTGTATGTCCCTTCTCCTCCACCTCCAGTCGTGCCTTGGGAACCCTGATTTTTCTCATACCCGTAATTAGAACTCAACACGATACTTGATTTGATTTGTACAAATACAAAAGATATTCGTAGTTACAACTCTCGCGACACGCAGGGAATAATGTGGACTCGAAACTAAATGCATAGTTGTGATCGAATTGTGTCAGAAAGTGTCGAAGACTAAAAAAGTATCTTCTGTGCATTGATCGTAGATAGCTGTCCTATTCAATTACGTTCTTCCTGTGCCGCACAAAATGATCAACTCGTAGAATGACTCCTAATAATGCAAGCACGCAACTGCAATTTCTGGATCTGTTCGCGTAGGCAGACCTCTCGCAACTGCCCACTAGGTAAATCTGAATATTATGGTCAAGCCGGGATCGCCGATGAAAGCTTTCGCTGAGGGATTGATGCTAGCCTTCACTATACAATTCTCGACCACATCAGGAAACTGACCGTCGTTGTCAACCCCATCCCTGTCGCACTCATGATCTCGCCGACCGTCAGATTGCAAAAGAGCGACCTTGTAGTGCACCCTTTCTTTCTGGTTTGTGTCATAGTCCTCGAGGATTAGGGTGTCGCCCCCTATACAGTAGGTACTCTTGTAGATCTACGTGACAGAATGCGGCATCCAGCAGGGATCAACCACTCCGCCAGTGGCCGAGATAAAGTTGTTGGGCATATCCGTTCAGGAATGCACTCAATGGGAGGATCCATTTCAGCTCATCCCTTCACTTTGTCGAACTTCGACGCAGCAACTTCAGTACCCCTGGATGCGGTGCTACGAAGCAGACCATTACTGGTTCACGAATCCTGTAAAGAATGAGGGTTAATACATGACATTGTTTCCAACCACAAGTCCGCAACAGGGTGGAATATTCAAACAAATTTCTGTGCAAGAGTGAACACAAAACGAATATGATGCGGGCATAAACTTCAAGCAATCGGTGCATTATATTGCCGGAGAGTCTCACGAGACCTTCTGCATGGCCTTCGGAAAGCAATGTGTGTCGCAATTGCATAAGCCATGAAGGCTAAACACAATATTTCAATCTCTGGATGCTCATGTAATTTGTGTTTATCTTGTGAAAAGTTGAAAACATTTTAAGTAGTCTATTATCATTGTCATTTTCCTATATTGAAACACGTTTCTTGTGGTTAAATTAGTTATTAAATTGTTTAGCATAAGTGATTTTTGTCAATCAAAGGTTTAGGACTCATTAGTCTGATGGGAACCAACTTACTTTGTAGATGCTATTGAAGATGTCCCTTATAGAAAAATCAAGATGTTAAGATAATACTTAGGTGATGAAACCAAATGGAACTTAGAATTTTGAAATAACTAAATGATTTACATTTTTGTAATAGAAATTATGTAATATTTTTATTTGAGATGTTGCTTAAATATATGGATTATTTGACTCAATATGCATAATCACTTGTGTGTGCTTAATTCTATTAATTAAGTAAAGAAGCATAAGGTACATACCAGATAAATAACTATCATAATAAAATTTTAAAAATACAATTTCAATTGGTAAGATAACATCTAGATTTTTGGACAGAATTAAGATACTAAAAATTCATATAAAATATGACATAAAAAATTTAGTACTTTGGTGGTAATCATTAAAAAAAATACAAACTATTACATTTTACGTTTATTCAATTTCGTCAATAATTTTTGCCTTGGGTTAACCTGCTAGATACCAAAAAACTTTAATAAATTTATGGCCCTTCTACATAAACTTGTAATGAGTGGGTAAATATCATTTGATATGTTATTATTCCGAGTGAAATATTTAGACACAATGTATTGCACTTGTTGTCTTCTAAAGTAAAAGAGCAATGGATTTAAGTAGAGTTGTTTTTTGCGTACTTATTTCAAAATTTTATAAGAGAGAATATCATTTTAAAACCATGATGTATGTAATAAATAAAATATTTGTCTTCAGTGAAGTTCTAAAATTAAACCACTTTGCAATTAAAAAACCACACATATATATATATATATATTGAATTATATAGTACATAAAAAATATTATTTTAAAATTTAAATGTCTTTATTTGGACTCACCATCCTCATTAATTTTAAAGAACTAAATAAATAAACACCCCAAAGAACTTCAAATACGTCTAAATTTGTAAATTAGATGAAAATCTATGACAAGCATTTCTCTTCTCCAAATACATGTCTAAGGATGGTTTTGTCTTGGTTGTTATTAAAACACTATATGTTGCAAGATCATCTTTTGTAGATTATTTGAAATGATTAAATTTCCAATTGAAAAAATATTTGTGATCTTATGTATTTATTCATTAAAATTATATATATATATATATATATATATATGTATATATATACACACACACACATATATACAGTTATAAATTATAAGAGATTTAAAAATTAATAAATAAAAGTATTACAAATTTTCTATGTAAATTTCTAATTTCTAGTTTTTTAAGCTAATAATGTAATAATGTATTTTAGTCATTTTATTAGTATTACATACGTTTGGTAATTTCATAAATAACATAAACTTATCAATCTTTTTTAATAGTATTTGTCAAGAAAAATCGTGGAATTATTATAGATAATAAGTATTAAAATATAATTAATCTTAGAACAAATTAAGCTTCTTAAGATATTAATTATATGCTATAGCATATCATATATGAATAGATTTTTAAAAATATGTATTTTTTAGAATGATCACTTCCTTTCTATATAAATAAAAAAAAAAAACTAATTAAATTTTTTACTTTGATTTTCTATAAATTTGTCCCATAATTTTGTCTTTTATTTAGGGGGTTGTAGTTGCCAAAAAATCTAAAGATACAAAGATGTAATTTTTTAATGTCATCACCAACTTATATGATATTAAATGTAAATCCGTAGTACCAACTTATAATGATTTAAAAATACATATAATCAGTTTACTCTAATTTAATTACAAATAAAATGCATATCCAAACAAAATCACGTTAATAAAATAATCAGAACTAAATTAAAATCTTCTTGAATTCTAATGCCATTTTTTAAAGAAAATACAGCCTTAAGTCTTGATTTAAAAAAAAACAAAAACAAAACAAACAAACAAACAAACAAACAAACAAACAAAACCAAAAATAAATAAATAAAATAAAATAAAACAAGAAAATAAAAAAATTAATGTTTTGAAAAAAAACCAATCTAATAAAAATTTAATAGATGAGATTAAACCACATAGTATTAAGTTGGGAATAGTATTTTTCAAGGTGGATAACCTAAAACATTGATATATTTTATGTCACAGTGCTAAGCATAGCAACTACTAAAATCTATGCTCAAAACCATGTAAAGATTCTTTGCCACATCATTAAATAAAACTGTGTTGACTCCACAGATTCTTAAGCTTAGAAAACATGCAAAATTGACTCTGGGTATGATACTTGATATATCAAAAATTGCAATTACTGCACCATAAAATGCAAGAAAAACTTGTCTAATGGCTTTTTCTTATATACTAGAAAAGTAGAGGCATAGTGTCTACTATGAGCCGCTGGCTTTAAAAATATCTTTTGCTTTTGATCCAACATTTTTTTAAAGTAATTTTATTTCGTATATATATATATATATATATATATATTTTTGCAAGTCAAGCATCTGCAAGATTCTAAAAATATAAATTCAATAAAAAGATATAAATATACACAAAAATTTATAATTTCATTTTTAAAATACATAAAAAAGTAATGTTAAATATTATAATAATGGTCTTTAGAAATTTCAGATCCAAATAACTTTTATAATTTTTTAAAAATTAAAAAAAAATTAAATCCTATAGATACTGAAAAATAATCACTGATCTATCATCTACATAGAAATTTATTTATTCGTACATATAAATATAAATATAAATATATATATATATATTAAATACCACCTTAAATATTGGTTATATTATACCCTAATATTACAAATAATTACATCACTTAAGAATATAAAATAAGTATTAATAAGAAAAAGTCATAATACTTCTTTTATTTAAAAATATTTAAAATAATGTAAAACTTATTCGATTTAGTTTTTAAGGAACTTCTACATAATGATTTTGTTAGTCAATATACATATAGGCAAAGCTAAGACCATCCTTACTACTCAATGTCTTTCTTGTTTTAAATATTAATTGAAGGTTCTTTAATTTTTATATTTAGAAATATTCAATTAAAATTATCTTTATATTTTATAATTTATTTATTTTTTATTATACATATGCTAATTTTTCTTAGATAATTTTACATAAATTCAAATTTCTGAAGAATGAAATAAAATTTTAAAAATATTATTTATTTATTTATTTATTATAATAAAAATTAGAGTAATGTATTTTTGAACTATCATATAGTTGTTTTTGAACGTTTATCTTTTAATAGACCAATATTATTATTTTTTAAGTATTTATTTATTTTGAGATATCTTATGTGTTATTTTTTATATCTTAAATCTAAAAAAAAAGTTATTACAAATTAAGAATGGTATAGCAAAATTATAAAAAAATTATAAGAATTGATACTTTGAATTATCATTTTTTTTCCCTACTAAAATCAACATTTAGAGCGATTAATAAAATATTACAATAATGGTAGGAGTTTCTTTAAGAATTGTATTACATCATGTCATTCTTTTTAAAGATGTTATAATTTAAATATAATTTTATTAATTATGAAACTTGGATTCTTTTTCTTTTAGAATCTATATGGTACTAGGCCCTAATTTAAACTATTGATTAATTATGTATTATTTTGTATTGTACTTAAATTTTAAAACCTTATAATTCTAATATGGTAATTAAAATTTTATCAGTAGCAAACCTATTGTATGTTGGTTTTATTATTTTTTGAGAGAAATTATCCAATATTTAATAACTTGTGCTATTTTTGAAAAAAAATTATGTATAAATGAGATATACATTGCAATTTGTGCAACAACCAATGAGATTTGGATCTTACAATAAAAAATCCCTTAGGTATTTGGGTGTACTTTACAATCCTAATTGATAGCATTTAATGTCAAGTAAGATATATTAAATTTATCAAATAATTTCTTTATTAATTGGAATATAAAATAAAAAATATCTACTCATTTTTTTCAACTTTTAAAGATTGAACCAGAAAAAGAATTCTTTTGGAAAATACAAAAATTAATTAGTTGAACTTTTCTTAAAATGTTTTAAAATTTTACCAAAATATTCTTATAATTTTGTAGCAAGTACTATTGCTTTTGTAAATATAGAATCAATCAAAGAAGTTGACAAATTATGACTCAGATCATAAAAAGGACTTAGCTTCAACAAAACAAATTCTGATTATATTATACAACTAAGGTTTTAAATAATGTAATCTTGTAAGATTCCGCCTTCCTTTATAATGAATTAATTATTTACATAACTGATATTTTAAAGTATAAATTAAGTAATAGAATAATATTAGTGAAAAAAAAAATTAAGTTTGTAAGAACTTCAATTACGTATTAAAGCATAAGATATGATAGTTTTTTTTAATATTAAATTCGATCATTTTTTAATTTAATTTAAAAATATATTTACTTATTAATTTAAAAATTATGTACCAATTAAATAAAATCATATATAGATATTTTTAAGCTTATAATATATGAAATAAAATCCTATATTAATAAATTTACTTAAAATAAAATTAATAACATAGCCAAGTAATATATACATATGTAAATAAATATGTTAAATATGTTAATACACAACACATTTTATGCTTGTAATGAGTTTAAACAATAATTTGTCTGTAATTTGGTCTCACATACATACTTATAACTTTGAAGGGTGTAATCGCTTAAATATTAAAAGATTCAAAAATATACTACAAAATTTGATATTACTAATATGTATCACAACAAATATAAATTTGTGGTACTAATTCAACCTCATTAATATATATATATATATATATATATATTAAATCTACCATGAGCTAATCATAAACTAATATAAATATAAACATATATGTATTAGTAGAAATCCCTGTTGTTGGGCATGTAGAAGTTGTAAATAAATGCTTCTGGAAGCAATCTCTTGCAAACTTAAAGGCTTTGGAAGGCCTTATGTTCTTTTGCTCTTGCATTCTTGAATTTTCCATATTTCTTGAGTTCTCTTCTTTACAACCAATGAGAAGACTTTTTTTATTTCTTTGTCTTATATCCAAGTTAATTTATATAATGTAATAATTTAATTAATAATATTATTAAAATTTTACTTATAGATTGAATATTCTTTATTCCCATAAATAAATAAATAAATAAATAATTTAATAAAAAAATATTTATTCTAAAAAAAAAACCTCATGTCTTAAGTACTAGAAGACAAGTCCAAAAGTGGAAGCAAAAAAACCAAAGTTGAATTATTTAACAAGTTGTATTAGTGAACAAAAAAATTGCTCAATAGAAAAGATTAAATTACAAATCTAATCTATAAGATTAATGTTGGAATTTTATATTGTATGTTGTATAGATTAAATATTACTATTAAAAATTATTTATATAATCCATAAGTTATTTTCACTTTCACTACAATTTTTTTGAGTGGGAAATATATAATTAGTGGCAATCATCTTAATTTCAGCTAAGATTTTCTAGCTTGTAACTACTCTAGAATAGTCGTTAATGTCTTTAAGATTTGACTTTTGGCCTCACTGTCTTGGATAGTGTTCTTTTATCAAGTTCAAAACATTATATTCGTCAAAAGTACTACTAGCCAAATAGCATAATACATTGATTTGCTTATCTTGTTATGTAGTCATTGTCTTTTTTTATACATACTACATTGGAGGCTCTTCACTTGATTGGTCAAGAAGTCCTAATATTGAAGGTTTTTATTGTTTTTGTTTTACATAAAAGATTGATTTACTTATAAAAGACTTTTGGTAGAATTTTTTTTTATCAACAAATCACTTAAATGCACTTGGTATATTTTTAAATTAATTATAAATTAGTTTAAATGGTGGCTGAATTGCTTAATTGTAATTTTTTCAGTTATAAGGATAATAACTAAGAAAATTGGTAATTTTATATATTTTAAATACATCTTAATATTTCTTCTCTTTTTTCAAATTTTTGCTACAACCTCTACTTAAAAGAAGGCTTGGAGTTGCATAAATTAAAAAAAAAAAAAAAAAAAAAAAAAAAAAAAAACTTTCTTTTGTAATTTGTAAAAGTGCCTTTACTTTAACAAATAAAATTTTAACTTTTCTATGTCCCAACAATATCTTGTGACATTATCATATAATTTTTATTAAGAAAATTGTTAAAAATTTAGAATCTAATAAAAAAAACATATGGCTTTTGGAACTTAAATAAATTTATATTTAAAAGAAACAAAGAAATTAAGAAGATAAGATAAGACCTTCATAAAAGAATGTCATATACGAATTCTATTGTAAATTTTCTAATTATAGTTGAACAACCTTATTTTCTAACATATTGATTCTTTTAGAACTACAGTCTTTCTTTTGTAGATTTTCTTCTTTTTTGAAGAATTTTAAATAATATGTTTGGATTTTCTTTAATACATGTAAAATCCTTCTTCTTGATGTCAAGCTTTTTTTAATATTGAAAGAGGTTTGAATCATAAAACATCAATTTTTTTATAAGAGTTGCATCATCATCTTCAATACTAAACATTAATTTTTATACGTTCTTAGATTTAAGCTATAACATTATTCATTTCTACTAATTATACTATAAATATATTAACTTAAAATTTTTAATACAAATAAGAAAACACAAAATAAAATAAAACAAAATGGTGTTGCAAAATCAATATCAATTTAAGATGATAATTTATAACTTTTAAAATACTTTGATGTTTTTTTAAAAAATGGATTTTCTATTCTTTTTTTAAAAAGATCTAATATTATTTCTATAAATATTATTTAGCACTTGTACCATATATAAGCATGTATTTAATATTCCTCAATTAACTAAAATTAATATAATTAGAATATCTTCTATAGAATAATAATAAATATAAATATACATTTATAAAATGGCAATTCAAATTTTGATATTTTAGATTCTAATTACAAAAAAGACCTTAAATTTCTATAATAAAACTACGTGAAAGTAGTAGTTTTATTAAAAATTTATCATAAAATTATATTTATAAATATCTTTATGCACTATAAACAAATTAAGCAATGATTCTCAAGTTTTATATTGCCAAATATTCAAAGTTACATCAATTTATTTTGAAGTTAGAATTTATTATTTTTTTTTTTCTGTTTTTCTAGTGTATTTTAAGCAATAAACAATAGCATTGCTATATATCCCAACACCAGTCAATTATCAACTGGGATAATTCACTACACCTACTGTCACCCATTAAAGGTATCTACTAAACGTCCTGCCAGATTCTAGCATGCTATGAAACCATGCTTTAACCTCTTAGCATGATAAACACTAAACTTCTAAGAGATGAATCCTGTCGCAATGCTGGTGTATTTACATTATTTAAATCTGTGAAACAAACTGAAAATGAGAGAAAAAAAGATGAGTGGAGAGTTCGCCAACGCATGCAGAATCCTCTGGTATACCACGTTTTCGAAACAAAGTATTCTATTTTCCAGAGTACATCAAGAGGTAGGTAAATATGAAAGCTTATGGTTGATCATCACCTCCCAATATGAACATGCCTTCACTCTCGTGTCAGATGTTGATGGCAGGTACGCATGCCGTTCAAACAAATCAATTGTGAAGAACAGCAAGAATCAGCTGCTATGAGACCTGTCGGAATCCTGGGATTGAAATTTACTCATAATAGCTGGCATAATTGATACAAAGCCAATAACGAAGAGAGCACCTACAGTCTTGACGTCATACAGCTCATTGAAACTCCTGAGGGTATTCAGTGCAACACCAGCCTGTTTCGTCCCCAGCAACAACAAAAGCAAAACCAAATACCTCATTAGAACATTTTCTCAAAACAAAAATTATGCGATTTTTTATTTCGCAAAAGTCCTGATAATTGGTGGAAGTTGAGAACTCAGAAGAGGTTTACCAAATCTTTCAGATCGAACACAAATGGCTTACCCGAACAGTAACAAATGTAGCAGGCAGCAATCCGAGCATTGTAGCCACGAGGAAAGTGAGGTAGGGAACACCTACGATTGGAGAACAAACATTGATAAAAGTGTTTGGCAAGGTTGGTGTAACTCTCAAAAACAGCATGTAGTTGAATAAGTAGTCCCTTCGTTTGGCAACCTGCACGCAAACCCTTGTCAACAATACATCCATGGGGAGGGCCTTACAAATTCAAAACGAGTTTACATCCCAGCCAACCAACCGAAAACGAACAAACAAACAAACAAACAAATGCTCGCGTAAGGTCTGCATCGATTTGGAATAGAGACGCCAAGACCTACCTCTCGAGTGAAGAAACGAAGTTTGTCAGGCCACAGCCACATTGCAAGTGGACGACCAATTAGTTTGGACAAAAAATAGCAAGAAGAAGCTCCAGCTGTAGCCGTAAAAATCACCAACGCCGCACCCTCAGCTATGCCAAAGAGAGAACCCGCCAGAAGTGACATTACGATTGTTCCAGGGATCATAAACGTCTGCATAAATATGTAGGTGACGCAGAAGCCCGCCAGGACTTGCGGCTTGTAGCTATCTGTGTACTTTGAGACGTATTCCCTGCAGGAATAAACAAAAGCAAATAAAACAATTCGTGAAGATGAAATTCGAGTTGAATTGAGAGCAATTGAAAGTTTCCAATCGTGTTCAACAACTCAATCCATACCAAGATCCAACATGCTCTGTCAGACTTGAAATCAAGAGCAAGTACTCTACAGCAGAAATAATCAAGCAAATGAAAACGAAGGTATGCGCACCCTATGCTTATAAAATAACTCGTGAAGTCGACTTACGTCAACGTGCGCAACTCTTCCACAGTGCGAGGGATCTTCAGGAATTTCTGATCTACACTAGGCATGGTAATATATATGCACAACAACGTAATCGAGAACATCCCAAAAATGACCGACACGAAAAATAATTCTAACGTCGTCAAAGGCAACCTAGACCGTATACCCTCGCATCCTCTCTCTTCATTGGACGGCAACTGCTCATCCCCGCTTGAGCCAGGTTTCGCCATCTTATCGGTGGAAATCGAGGCCCTTCTGCACAATGACGAGTGCCACAAGAGGAAAGGAACTGGTGACCTCTAGTATCATTCTGCGACGGATTCATGAGAGAAAACAAGCCATACATAAAGCTCTGGATTTCACGAGCTCTTTTGAAAAAGAACAACAAATGCGAGCATTCGGCAAACAGCACCCAATCTACACTTTGCACAAAAAAATTTACTGGCTCCATCGCAATTTTCCTAGGAAATACACAGAATTCCTTCAGCTCCAAGACAAGAAAGGGCGCGCAACTTACGCCTCTTCAAGCGCGTGCGGCTCCCTCCTCGTGAGTTATGTCCCGAGGCGCAATGCAGCACGATACGTCCAAAGTCCAGCTGGCCGCAAGCTCAATTCGACATAGCTATAGAATTCGCAAACGTGACGAAAGAGAGGGAAAGGCAGATAGACAAGCTAAGCGATAGAGACAAAAACACGTAAAGCGAGAAGAAGAGCGTTGGAGGAATGCAGTCGTAAAGTGAGAACACGAGGAATTGACACCGCGAGAGCGAGATGGAGAAAAAGGGGGCAACGAACACCGACAATGCAACTATGTAGAAACACAGTGACAACAAGCACGGCGACAGAGCCAGCGAAAAGGGAGAAAGAGAGAGTATAGTGAACACCGACAACGAGGGCGACGACGCAGACATGCGTTACTCCCTCTAACCGCTCTCACTCTCTCACACACGCTTTCTCTCTAGCAATCTACACACCCCTCTCCTCTTCTAAATCCACCGCATCAAACCAATCTCCACGAAATCTCTTCACTCCGCAACAATCCTCCACCCTAACCATCCACCAATCTACCGCACAACCCAACTCTCAACCCTCCTCCTCGTTCGCCACCCTCACGGAACGCCGCGGAATTCCACCGGAACCCAATTCGCATTACGATCCGTGGGAAGGCTCTGCAGGCTTGCGCGCACAATCGGACACGAGAAACGGGAGTGGAGGGGCCTGCTGATGCCTGCTACTGCTGATGCGGGGCGGGGCGGAGGAGGGGCTAAAGGAAAGGGGAATGGAGCGTGGTCTCCAAAAAGCTAAAAGGCGCGTCCAGGTTTGGATGCTCCCGGGTCGGTTCAGTTCGGTCCCCCCCCCCCCTTCTTCAACCGCCGTAGACTCACTCTACCTCGGGGCCTCCTCCCCTTTAAAGTAAAAGGCGGGCGGAGCTCCCCGCGACTGAGGGAGTCGTCAGGTTCGCGGCATCCAGCGATTGTGACGTCATCTGTTACTTTTGCTTTTTGACACGTCGGATTCCATTTGTTTATTTAGTGTGGTAATAAAATAGTGCGAACATGCTCGTGATTTTCATCTACAAGAAATCACGCTTGGTGGATCCAATTTTCTTGTGTAGTTTATATGTTAAAATAATAACATTTTATTACATAATAATCATGTGCTTTTCAATACATTTTAATACATTTTAATAGATATTAATCATTTGAATACATATTAATCATGTGCTTTACATTCTCAAAATCCCAAGTTCTGCGCTACAATACCTCGGAGCCATATACTAAAGAAATTCATTCTAGTTATTTGTTGAAGTTTAGCATAATAATCAGGCCATATTCTTGCATGTGAGATGAGAAGGTGCCTTTGAAATAACATTAGCTGTAAATAAAATTTTGTCTATTGGCACCCATTTTAAGCATCATCTCAAAGTAGTACCTACAATCAAAGGAGACAAAATCCACCACTTGATAATTGCCATACCATTAAATGGTTGTAAAAATCATTCATGACTTGGGTCCATATAAAATGCTAATATTGTTATGGTGAAGAGTTTGTGGATTGTGTGCTTCACTCACTATGATAAAATACCCAAATTCTTTATATGCTTTCTACATTGCTAGATTATTTATCTTTGTCTCTTTTGTTGCTTTCAACATAAATCTCAGGTATTTTTATCAATTACGTTACAATGTGTATATCTCAAATCTATGTACAACCAAAAAATTGATAAATAATAAATTTGGAATTGGAAATTGGAAATTTTCAGTAAAAAATAATAAAATGTCTATTAAATTTTGACCAAACTAGCATACTACAAGATGTTCAAAATATTGTCTTTAAAAAGCATAAAATACAACCATAGTTAAGAATAATTTTTTTGTGTCAATTCTCTTAAAAGAATAATATTTGAAAATTAATATATCAAAACATGTTAAAAATGCATTGACAAATCCAATGGAAACTTAGTCTTACCCTCAGTTAGTACAAAATATGAAGATGTTTGGTAACAATCAAAATAAAAAAAACAAAAGTAGCTCTTTGAAAAGCAATATTTTTGTAAGTACTTAGAATTTTGAAGATGATTTTGAAACCAATAACTGGAAGGACATTTCACTTCTATCACACAGAACTTCTAAATATTTTACAACAATATAAATATATATATATATATATATATATATATGTGTGTGTGTGTGTGTGTGTGTTCATATTCATTACAAAATTTAACCTTTCCAGCATTTATAGAATGCAAAAATCTTAAAATAAAAAACATTTAATATTAGTGCTTTGATGGCTCTCCTTTTACAGAAAGAGCAGGACATTGAGCCGTCGCTTCTATTGGAGTTTTGTATTACAAAATATGTGAAATTGCAGTTCTGAAGGATTGTTTGTCAATAGGCCACATGCACATATTTATTTATTTATTTTAAAATTATTTGTTTTAACAAATAATTTTTATTTTGAATTCTATTCTTCTATTGGGATTTATTTTTAAAAAATAAAATCACATGTATCTTTAATATTATCCATTAAATTAAATTGTTTCTTACAAAAATTTATTTTAAGCTTTCACAAGTTTTGAATATACCTTCATTTTACCTTTTTTTTTAATAGATCACAACATTTTTTTTAATTTTAATTTTTTTAATACTAAACAAAAAAATATAATATAAACTTATGGTATTGATATTGCAACCATATTTTATACTATTGTCACCACGACCCACCATCTATTCAACATGTTACTTTAGTTTTTTTTATTTCAATAAAAATAATTTATTAAATTTCTAATACTTTTTTAATCATACAAAAAAATCTATAAAAATTAAAAATCAATAAAAAAACAAGTTGTGGTGATAGTAGCAAAAATCGTAGGGGGTTTAGCAACACCCTCAATCTATCATAAAAAACTACTCATAATGACATCACAAACAACTACAACATAAGAAATTTAAAATGCACAAAGGTGCTACAATGCACAAAACATAAAATTTACAAACTATAAAATTTATAAACTCTAACAGAAGCAAGAGCCTATAATTTATTAAAAAAATGTGAAAGAAAAAAAGAAGTACATGTTCATTTTTTTAATATTTTGAATGGAACAATATTAAATGCAGGTTTAAAAAGTTTTGACAATGTACAATCTTTTTCTATATACTCTATCTTGATACTATGAGACCACAAAACATATGGGACATATTGTATATTTATATTTTCAAGTACCACTTTCTTCAAATCTTTTGGTAATAAACTATATTTTTTGACAGAAATTGTATCTCCTCCAGAAGCCTTGTGTGGTGTAATATGTTCCAACATATGACGATACCTCTTTTTCTTTTTTGTTTTGTTTGTTTTTTTTTATGAGTGCATATTAATAATGATAGATTTTTTTCTTTTGTTTTCTACACTTATTAGTGATTACCAAATTTAGATAAAATGACATACTTAATGTCACATTTATTGACATAATAATTTTAATCAAAATACAACAGAATAAAGACACAATTTATTTTAAATAAATATAATATTAAAATATCAGATACACACGTTATATATATGTATATATACATTTTTTATTTTTAAAAATTCGATAAAATTTGATGAAATATTCTGGAAAAATAATCAATTACTGAGATATATACAATTTACTCATGTAACTTAAAAATACATGGTTTAAAATATAATTATGTAGTAATATCTTGAGATATGAATATCTTCAAAATTATCATATTTTTGGATAACACATGCCAACTTAACACAAACACACACATGCGCCAAAACATATATTTATACACACACATTTTATTAAATAGTTTCACTGTTGAAGACAAAATGGGCTCAGCATCACTGATTTTAATTTTAATTTTTTGAAGTTACATTGAATGTGAAAGGGTATGAACAAAACGATTATCCAAAAGATAAAACTTTCAAAGGAAAACTCACGACTTAGAACTAAATACGCAATAAAAACACAATGAACTCCCTCAAGAATTGAAGTTCAGCACTTGAGGGGAACATTCAGGGGAACGTGCAGCGGGGAAGCGAACGCGGTGCCAAGTCAGATGAAGGAAGTGCCACGGTGGACGCCATGTGTTCAGAGGGGGATAGGGGGAAGAGGGGAGATAAGCCTGGTACGTGGAAGGGGGAGTCGCGTCCGAGTTGGCCCCAGGGATCCCGCCCTTTCTCGTTCCCTTATGGATAACTGGCTTCATCGCCTTCACCCCTCCCCTTCTCTTCCTCCTCCTCTTCAACGTCTGCAGCTTGCTTCCCCGTGTGCTTCAGATCGTAGCTTCGTGCTACGCTTTGAGCTTGAGCTTCTTCCCAATCCGACCCATCTGCTGGTTTCTCGCATTACGCTGGCTGGGGATGTCAGGTATGTCCAGTCCTCACAGCAGGGATGGTGCGACCTGTCTTTTGTATGTCCAGGATTGTGTGTGTTTGTGTGTGTGTGTGTGTGAAAAGGGGCTTTGGGGTTAAGCTAGAAATCGCGTAGGAGGTGCATTACGAAGAGGGGAATGCGTTTGCGAGAAGCAGGACTGGGGCTTTCCTTCACGTCCAGCAGTTTTTGCAGATTCGTGCACAGCTCTCTGGGATTCGGTGAAGCTGCAAGGTTTTTTCGGGGGAGAAATTCGCTTGTGGAGGGTGCTTCTTCTTCCTTGCTTGCTTTGAGGGGTTGCATTTGGCACAGACGCCCATCAGTGTTTTCTGTGGAAGATGTGCATTTCCGAACTCGTGGCCTTGTATAAGTGGTGGATTCTGCAATTTGTGAGGTCCAGGGTGTATTCAGGATATGGAAAAAGAGCTACATTGAGTTGGCTGTTACAATTTGATGAAAGTGATGTAATCGCGTTCAGGATGCCATTGGATGCTTTAAGTCTTGAACTCAAAATTGCTATCTAGTTTGCTTCCTGCCGGTTACCGGACTTTGTGGTTGCAGTTTGTGTTTTCGCGAATGGCTAGAAAGGCATCCTGTCGAGGATGGAATTCATGATGTTTGAACCTTCAGTTTCGGTTCCGGATTCTATCGCAGTTGGAACCACAGATTGAAACAGAATAATTGTTTTGGTCAATGCTGCAGAAGTACTCCTTAGTCGACTGTCAAAGCATGGGTTTTGTAGTTCACTCTATGCTCTTGACCTTCATAGTAGCTCACAAATCCCTAGTTTTCTATTGTTGGATTGTAGGATAAAGATACCCGAGGCCAGCCCAGCGTGGGTATGGTCCTGGAGCCAGCTGCCGGGTTGTCTTCACAACCGTGTCTGTTGTCCGTGTGCAAGGATGTTTGATGTAGGGTTGAAGAACTCTCAAAGCATTTACATAGATTAGAATTAGTTTCTCGAGTTTGGGCAGGTTCCGTCTGCATCTTGTAACTTGATCAAGCAGCGGTATTCATGTTCTAGAACTGTACTGATGAGATTATTTGTTGTCTATCTCTCTTGAGTGGTATCGAAACTACCACTAAGCTCCTACAAGCTAACACAAGGATCTCATTGTGGCATGGGTTAATGCAGAAAGTGGCGGTCGCTTCAAGCACATTAGGTGCATGAAGTGAGGAAATGACTACTGCCGTAAATTCTGGTGGAATTGGATTAGTCAATAGGCATAAAGAACAGACATGGGTGCCTGTTGAACGACCTGGGTGTTCTAAACCGCCTTCCATGGCTGCTCACAATACCAAGCATCTTTCACGTCCGGGGTGGGATAAAGGGGGTAAAAGAATGGAGCTCTATTCTGCCCCGACGTGGTACTATGGAAACCACCAGCAATCAAATCTGGTGCCTCAAGCCACTCCTAAATTCTCCCTTTCCATGCGTTTTATGGGACCCTTTCAAAAGAAAAATCTTTCTGGGTTGAGGCTTTCTCTGCGACTTTGCTGTCAAGCTGTTCTCGAAAATGAAGTTTCGAACATGCGAGTGGCTGCCTCCTCCGTTGATGAACAGCCTGTGAAGGTGAAGAAGGTGAAGGTAAAAGTAGTGAAGAAGTTAAAGGCCGAACAAGAGCATGTGGGAAGGAGTCTTCAAGCCATCGGGGTTCGAAATGCAACCCTGGCTAAGTGTGTGATTGAAGCAGACGGAATGACTGAGGAGGAGATGCTGGAGTGGATGAGTATGTTGCAACGTTTAGGGGTTAAACACTCCGAGATTGTATCCATGGTGGGGAAGGATGCGAGTGTTCTCCGTGCACACATTCCAGATGTGGAGCGTCTTTGGGTGCATCTCAAAGATGAGCTAGATTTTGATAGAAGTATAGTTGTATCCATGTGTATGCAGTGGCCGGGCCTACTTCTCTGCTCAGTACAACACGTGAATGATGTTACCAATTACCTTTTATCCGTAGGGTTAGAACTTGATGACGTGCAAGGGGTGTTTCAAAGACGGCCTCATGTTTTGAGCCATTCCGTGGAACGCATTCAGTGTAGTGTCCAATGCTTACTGCAAGCAGGAGTTCTTGTTCAGGATCTCGCCCCCATCTTGAGAAAGGTGCCAGAGCTTTTTTCTGACTTAACTCAGAGGAATCTGGACTCAAAATTAGAATTTCTGTTGAAGGTAGGTCTTGGAGCCGGGTCCTTGGGCAAGGCAATTGCGAGGCGTCCAAACATTTTGAACTACAATCTAGATAGCATGAGAGTCGCTTTCCAGTACCTAGAAACATTAATGCGTAGTCGCGATGTTCCCAGGTTGGTCAAACGGTATGCCGAGGTATTAGTTCTGGATCCGGAACGCAAAATGGCTCCCATGGTTAATTATTTAATCTCCCTTGGTGTTCAAAGGGATAATATCGGCAAGGTGATACTGAAGCGGCCTCAGCTCCTTGGCTACACAATTCCAGGCCTTCAGCCAACTGTACAGTATCTTATTGAACTTGGTGTCAAGCCGGAGTCCTTGGGCAAAGTTGTCTCCACTTCTCCTCAGGTCTTAACCATTTTAGCCCTTCTAGTTTGAACCCGTTCCATGTCCTTACATGGATTTCTTAGTCTTGTAGAAAAGGCCGATTTTTTTGTCACATTGAATGTTGTATTCGTGTGGCCTTGTGGAGTAGTGCATTTTGTTAAGGGCAAGTCTGAAGAATGTGACGACCTATGGCAGGTACTCACGCTGAACGTGGAGGAGAAACTAAAGCCAGTCGTGGAGTTTTTTCGCAGTATGGGATTAAACAAGGAACGTGACATCGAAATGCTGCTTGTTCGGAATGCCCAGATACTTTGTTGCAGCATTGAGAAGAACCTACGACCAAAATTTCTTTTCTTTAAGGGTCTTGGATTGACAGAGAACTCCATTGCAGATATGATAGTTCTCTTCCCATCCATGCTCGGTCAGAGCATTGAAGGATCTCTTGCTCCCAAATTCAACTACCTGATTCATGAGATGAATCGTCCCATAGAAGAGCTTGTGGAGTTTCCTCAGGTATCAAATATCTCACTCAATCATCGCTTCCATTCTAAATGTAGCTTTTTTCTCTATTGTTGTATTCATATTAATACTTTGAGAAATTCCTCAGATTCTGCAATTAATCGATAGTTGTGCATGTACAGTACTTTGGCTACAGCTTGGAAAGAAGGATAAAACCCCGGCATGAGTTGTTGAAGGGGAAGGCTATAACGACCAGCCTCGCATCAATGTTGGCATGTGTTGAGGACGACTTCAAAGCTCGTTACCTGTCTGGACAGCCGCCCAGCCGTGCTCCATATAACAAAAGGGTTAAAACTGACAGATCTGATCCAACTCGTACTGAGTGAGATATGCTTTGCTCTCTTTAGGCTTTGTCACTTCATGAACAATAGCATTGCAGATACTATAGAAAGTCCAGTTTATGTCTGTGACGTCACACTGTTGTAGGCCAGTCCTTATTTGTAACCTTGACTGATGCTACTGCTGCTGCTGCTGCTTCGAGACTTGATGTGCAAGCTCTGCATGCCACTTAGAAAGGAATTCATTGGAAACCACGCATTGATATAGAAAGGCAGGATTTGTTGCCTGTGCAAATTGCCCTCCTCCATTTAAGTGACTATTCTGTAGAAAATATTGACTCCCGGATCACTCAGGTCTACTGGAAAATATATGGGTCCTTTATGAGTTGTAGATGCTTAGCCTTTTACCACATTCCCTCAGCTGAATTCTGACATCCTTGTGAATGTTGGCTATAGCAATCTCAAACCTAAAGTAGATTGGAATTTTGCCAGTTGTGAAATTAATGACTAGAAAATGTAAGATTAATAGTATCTTGGTACACAATTTATAGAACATTGTATAATTTTACAAAAAACAGCAGAATTTAATTTTGTGGTGGTATAAAGTTGGTCAATGTCATTGTCACAAAAACACCTTTACAAAAGCTTCAAATACTACTACTAATCATACTGTTGTAACAATTAAAAAATCAGAATTGAAGAGATACAATGAATTTGATGGTCCTCTATCTAATATTTAAAACTTAGAAATAAAACATAACTTCTTTTATTTCTTATTCTTATTACAACCTTCATTTTGAAATTACAAGAGTATTTTATTAAACCTTTTCCTTTTTGTAATCCTTTTTATTCAAATATGTATATATGTATATGAATGTATGTATGTATATATTTTACTGATACTTTAAGGTACCATTGGAATAGTTTTATCAGATAAATTTAGCATAATACAATTTAAGATAAAATCAACGAGATGTTAAATGTTACCTGTTTTTATTGAAATTTATATACCTTTGTTTTTATATTGTCCTTTACTTCAATTAAAATAATGAAAAATTTATACATACATAAAATTGATGAGGTCAAGAACAACCTAAAAATACTATTTAGTATGAAAAAAAATCAGATATCAAACAATATAATTAATCTTTGTGAGAAGTATACCCTGTAGCTTCTTATTTATTTATTATAATTTCATTCAATCTTGAGTTTTTGAATTACTTTATTTAAATTCTTATAGTATTCTAGAATTTAAAGAAAGATAAAGCAATAGATATTGTCTATCATAGGTATTTTTATACAAAATATATATTTTTAAAATGAGGATGACACAATGTACATTTATGTATATATATATATATATATATATGTAAGCCATTCATTGATTTCTTGAGTTTTTGTAACATTTATGCTGATGTGTTTAATTTATGGATATATTTTCATGGTTTTAAAATTTATTTTTATATTACACAATTTAAAGACTGAATGCAATTTTAATAAGATACTTCATGCAAAAAAATTAAGAAGAAATCAGCTTCACTATTAATTTTTTATTGCACATTTAAAATATGTTTTTTTACATTTTGATTGAGCAAATTTTTTATTTTGATTTATGTCTTTTGAGAAACATTTTGATGCTTCATCAAAATATCAAGATCATAATTACAAAAAAGAAAAATTTGAACAAAGTTTTAGAATTATTGTATGAAATTTAGCATCTCTGAACTAATACATTTATGAAATTTGTTTTTCTTACTATTGTAAATTCCATGTAGGATATTTATTTTATTATTAAAAGGACAAATAGATTCTTTTCTATGCATATTAGTTATTAAATATTTCATATGTAATAATAATAATCATTAATTATTGCTTGTAATTCTAGTCTTGAATTAAAATTCATAAAATCTATGTTATATTCAAACAATATAAAACATTGGTGTCTACATGTGCTTCATCGTCCAATAGTCATTGCATCAGACATAACATGTCAATTATTCAAATTGTTATTTAAATTCATATCTATTGAAGATTAGCAAGTATTTGCTTAGTTACAACCACATAGATATTAAGCATATTATGTTACTAATAGTCAAAAGAAAGCAAAGAGTTAAATGAAGTTACTATGGTGGCACCCAGGATTTAGTTGAATGAAGTAGAAATGGATGTAATATCAAAAGGATGGAAGTTGTTTTGTTGATAAGGAAACCACCGCTTAGAAGTAAAAGGTGTTAGAAGTAAGAATTATCTTTCTCTACACTTCTCTTAGAGTACAATCCTTGTTGATGCTAAGTGTTTGTAGTTTTTAGACTTCTTCTTCTTCAATAGGTTATGGGCCCAGTCACATTTGCTTAAGTGTTTTGAAGTTCTTTGAAGTGTTTGTTGATGTGTGGATTAGATAAAGTTGTTGTTGCTAATGTAGGATTTAGATTTAGATCTAGATCTTGTATTATATTATTAACTCTAATTGATCTAATCAACAACTTTCACATTCAGATCTAGATCTAGATCTAGATCTTGGTTTGCTCTTACTTGAGATTAAGAGCATTTTTGGTATTAATGTTTGATTTTCCACCTTAAGGCAAAGTTATAGAATACTTGCATTGTGCTATTGCTAAGATTGATCCTTGGTGGTCTAACTTTATAGTTTCATGTCCTAAAGTTGCTGATTGTGCTTAAAAGACCTCTTACGGTGTATAGAGATGATTTTTGAGTATAAGAGTGATTTTTGAGTAGCAAATCAGATTTGAGATACTTAAATAGGTCATCAAACTTATGAAAAGTCTTAAAAGTGAAGTTGAGAGTGTTTTTGAGAATAAGAACACTAGTTTATTCACAAAGAAGGATTCTGTGATTCTAAGGTAGCAAAACTTTCTTGCTGATTTTGAGAGCATCAGGACTTCTTCTTACAATCTTTTTTGATGCAACTCTTCTTTAGACATGGCTTCAAGTGAGGGTGAAGGATTGAGAGTTATTGAGAAGTTTAGAGGTGAGAATTTCTACCATTAGAAGGTAAAAATGGAGCTTTTGTTGGCATCTTTGGATCTTTGAGATATTGTAGATGAAAGGGAAGAGGCTCCAAGCATAGATGCTGATATGAAAGAAAATATGGAGTTCAAATGTCGTGAAAAGAAGGCTTTTGGATTGATTACAACCAATGTGGATGAAGCCAACTTCTCTCATATTATTTCTTCCAAAGACCAATGGAAGCATGGAAGACTCTTTGCAATATCTATGAGAGCAAGAACTTATCCAATATCATCTATACAAGGAGGAAGTTCTTCACTTGCAAGATGGAGGAAGGTAAAGACCTCATGGCTCATGTCAATAAAGTAAAGGCTCCTGCAAACCAACTAGCAATTATTGACAAGCCTTTAGAAGAGAGTATTATTGTCATGACCTTATTGATGAGCCTTCATGAATCCTACAACTACCTTATTGTGGCATTGGAATCCATTAAGCTAAAAGAAATTACAATGGACTATGTGACGGCAAGACTTATCCATGAAATAACCAAGAAGAAAGAAAAGGAGCCTCAAAGTGAAGATTTAGCATTCTACTTATGTCAAGGCAAAGGCAACTATCCAAATCAACAAGGTAACGTCAAATCTTGCTTCATTTGTGGCAAAGTAGGTCATTTTGTTCGAAATTGCTACAAAGGTAAAAAGATAGAGAAGGAAAATGCAAATAGTATGCAAGATGAGTTTGGAGGAAAAGATTGTGCATTCACAACAACAAATAGGACCTCTATGGCTGCCATATTAAGATAGATTGTGGATTTAGGTTGTTCCAAGTATATGATATCTTATAAGTATTCATTTGACATTTATGAGGCTATTCTAGCATCAAACGTGGTGTTGACGGATAGTAGCTTGTGTGAAGCCATTGAAATTGGCTCTATTATGGTGGTTTTGAATGGACAAACCAATAGGATCAGATTCAAAAACGTCGTTCATATGCCTAAGATGAAGCAAAACCTACTTTTGGTCAGTAAACTTATAATGGAAGGTTTTAAAGTTCAATTTGACATGAATGGGATGTTTTGTAAGAACATTGAGTGAAGATAAGGTCTTCAAAGCTTAAAAGAGGGAAATTTGTACTACCTCATTTCTAAGAAGGTAAATGGAGTCGATGTAGTCGCATTTGCTGAGTTTACATCAAACCAAGACAAGTAGGTTTTGCTTCATCTTAGGCAACATCATCGCCTTGGCCATTTGAATGTGAAGAACATGAGAGAGCTCAAGTCTATAGTAAGTGGCTTAGATCTTGGCAATATAAGCCAAAATAAAAAACAACTTGCATGTGAAAGATGCATACAAGGCAAACAACAAAGGGCCTCATTTCCAAGGAGTATAGCAACATGTGCTACCAAGTTGCTGGAGATTGTCCATTCGGATGTATGTGGACTTAGGAAGAACATAAGTATTAGATGATCAAGGTATTTTTTTACTTTCATTGATGATTATTCAAGAAAGATTTGGATCAACATTCTTGAAGCCAAGAGTGAATGCTTTTTGAGGTTTAAGGAATTTAAAGCACTTGTTGAGAAATAAAATGAATGCAAGTTCAAGGTACTATATACGAACAATGGATGTGAGTACATATCTAAGCAATTTGATATTTATTTGAAGAATGAATGAATTGCTAGACAAACCACAACTCTATATACTCCACAACAAAATGATGTTGCTAAAAAGATAAATCAAACCATTGTAGAAATGACAAGGAGCATGCTTTATGCACAAAACTTTGGCTATGAGTTTTGGACAAAATCTATGGTGAATGCAGTGTATACAAGAAATAGGTGTCCAATAAGTGCTCTTACATCAATGACACCATAAGAAGCTTGGAGTGAGAGACAACCTTGCATTTTCCATATGAAGACCTTTGATTGCATTGCATATGCAAAAACACCAGATTGTATGAGGTCCAAACTTGATGCAAAAGATACAAAGTGTGTGTTTCTTAGTTATTATGAAGGTACTAAGGCATATAGGCTAATGTGCTTGGAAACCAAGAAGATCATCAAAAGTCATGATATTGAATTTTTAGAGCATAAGAGTGCTTGTAAGTACTTGGAGATGTGTCCAAGTGGGAGTAATGGTGTGTTTATGGATATATCTTTGAATTTAGGAAAGAAAGAAGAAGATGAAGACAATGAAGATGATGAAGATGAAAAACCAAAGAAGGTTGAAAAGATGAAGGCTCCTACAATTCCTAGGAATAGCAATGAAAGAAATGAAGATGTTGAAGATTATGATGATGATGATGATGATGATGATAAAGAGTACCAACTATTGAATGAAAAACGACAAGGTTTAAGAGAGAAGGAGGTTTGAAAAGAACATGGAATGCAACAAGGTGAATCTTCTTCAATAAATGAAAGGAGAT